CATTTGAAATTCAATCTCGAGTCCTCGGTTTCCACAACGAATAAATTTCGATGACGACTTGGTGACAGTAGAGTTGAAAGAGGCAGAGTTGATTTTCTATGAACCCCTCTAGCTCGAACCAGACGTAAAACTCATGTTTACTGATACAGACAGTTCCATCTACGAAATTGCATGTGAAGATGTGTACTGTGAGGCGATTGATGCGAGAATAGAGAGATTTGACACGTCTGACAATATTCATGGTACCTCGAATTAGATAGCAAGTCTTGGGATCATCAAAAGATGAGGCGAACAGTAGGATTATAACACATTCTACTGGACCGCGATCTAGAATGTACAGGTATAAATTAGTCAAAACCGATGAGTAGAGAAATCGATTGAAAAATGCGTTGTAAGGAATAAACTTACCTTCGATGATTATGTAGATTGTCTGACGGCTTGGAAAGGAAATACTTCAGCCAAGCGAATGATCCGTTTCTACGCCCACAAAGTTTTTTTTATCGATGAGACTGAAACTGGCCTGAGGCCCAAAGATGACAAGCAAAAACTGATTGCCGATAAGCAGAAATTTGCCCAAATTTTTAAAACCAATGTTGTTGTATCGATGGCTTTTTACTCTTGAAAAGCTGTAACCACTATTGATTTCATAATTCACCCAATTATATATTATATTCTTCATCATCCTACTAGGTATTATCCAAACACTTTTTTTTTGTGTATCATTCTATTCAGAATTAATTTTTTGGAAGGAAAGAGTTCGAGAGAAACAAAAAGAGTTGTTTTGAGATGTGATTTGATGGTATGGATTTGAAACAGTTGTGTTATGTCTTCTGACGAATACAGACGTGCACTAGAAGAATTTTGTCTGAAGGTGAGACAGCTCAGCTCAGACATCCAATCGGAGTGTTTGGGACAGGATAATTACCGAATCAAGACGTACAGTATCTACATATAAAAAAAAGTCGAACCAACGCAGCTACTAGATGAAGATACTAAAAGCAAGCTCCATTTTATCGACAGCTCTGAGCAAAACGTTTTCTTCACGAAAATACGGTATGATACTTTCTGAAACCAATCAAGTAATATTTCATTATCGAGCTGTGTACTCACATTTCACATTTTTGTTGCCCTAGGTTCGTTCAAATTTCTGGATATAATCCTTATACTAATGTTCGGATTATTATCGATGACATTCAGAATATTCTCCATGTTATGTCCTTTCAACGGTCTTCCTTGTCCAGAAACACGTTGAAAATCGCCATTATCACTCAAGTTTCCATGAGTATCAACGAATACTTATCGCGCAGGTATTCTTCTGTTAGGAAATTTCCGATATTCCCGCTCAGCCTCACGTGCATTGCCATTAAAAAATCCGAATAGAGAATGTATGTCTGCGCATTCCTGATTTGTGAATTGTGGCAATTTGGAACAAGACAATGTACATTTAGATATCAATTATTGCTCAGTGTTACGTGTCAACAAATAATCCAAAAATCGAAACTCAATGTTATGCATTTTTTTCCATAGCCATTACGATTTGATATTGAAATATTATGCGTTATTCTCGAGATGTATTGATATTTTTAAACAGATTGTACCCGAAAATGGTTCATTTAATCAACATGTAACAAGAGTATGTTTTTGCTGTCAGAATGTCTTTATATTCATAATCCGAGACCAAATTGTCGAAAAAAATTGCATACAAAAAATCAGGGTGATATTTAGAGTTACTCCACCCTGTTTTCAATATATTCATAAATCAGATTTTCAGATAATTTTATCTCCACTGCATCGAGCATGAAAAGTTTGGTTTCTTTACCAAATTTCATCATTTCATATCACGGCGTTCTGGGAATATTCATGATATACCATCTTCAGAAGCCCTCTTTGAGGTGGCCGTAGCTCCCTTAGGAGTCATTTCGAGACGTATGTTCATTCGAATTTTCCTATCTATTTTCGGTCGTAGGAGTTGCTGGTGAAGTTTGGCAGGCTAGTTATAGGACACCCTGTATAACTTGAAATGTAATTCATTCATGGCAGTGTTTGAAAGCCCATGACCTGAATAGTAGAGTGGCATTTGTGCGCGCGCGCGCGTGTGTGTGTGTGTGTGTGTTCATTTGCTAGAATACAGTATATAAGAAACTGATCATCAAATATCGAAAATGAACTATTAATCAATCCTTTCAAAGGCGTAAAGTGTGTTTTTACCACCAAATTATCTTTCATCATTTCATGAATCACGAGTCAATGAAGAGATAGCCACCTCTATTATAATCAATCCGAATTCACTGTTCTCATGCGATATATACAAAAATGGCACTCCAAACTAGTAGATATTTATCAAATGCTGTCATGGTGCGACTATATTTCGATTAGAAATGAAAATGAGTGCTTTCATAGGGACAAGGGTATACATTTCAGTCTCACAGAATTATAATGATTACAATATTTTCCTGGTGGTGAAAAAAATTTTGATATAAAGGGCGAGTGCTTACTTCCGATAGATCTTTATATGAATCAGAAACAATATTGGTGACAAAATAGATTCTTGTGCAACGCCGGAATTTGTGGCAATGGCATCAGACGGGAATCCGTTCATCACCACACGGAGCGATCTGTCTGAAAAAAAAAAACTCAATAAAAGATGAATTAGTTGAGGTGATGAGCCGTATAATGGTAGTTTGTAGAGCAGTCCTTGGTGCCCATGTGAAACCTGCCATATATGGGTGACGTGGGCGAGCAAATCTCTAGTTGATCTTTGGTGGCGGAAGCCATTTTGTCAATTATCAATGACTCCTGAGCTTGCCAGATATTTGATGAGCTCAATGTTCATGGCTTGCTCCATCACTTTGGAGATGACTGATAACTGGGCAATCAGCTTTCACTTGTTGGCAGGCTCTTGTTTTCTCTTCTGGGGATTGGTTAGACTCAAGCTATTTCTCAGCAAGATGAAAAAATACCCCACTATTAGGATATGGTGCGTCTGATAGTGCGTTGACGAAAGACAATTTTGAGCATTAGACTTTCAATGGGTGGAATGTCTAGCGGCATCCTTTCCTGGGAATCCAAGTTGAAGTTTGCGGCGAACATCTCTACAAAGATATTTGCAATCTCTTGCGATGTTGTTGCTACTGTGCCGTCGGCTTTGGGGAGTGATATGGATGAACTATTGGTGAAATTTCTTCCCACTGCTTCAGCAAGGTACCGAAGCGAACGGAAACTATTTGGACAATCCATGAAGTATTTCAATTTTGCATGGACTATCTCGAATTGTCACGGTGATATATCTTATGGATTCTCTCTGTAGGTCATATAAGGTATTACTGATCAAGAGATGAAGGAGAATGATGGGAGTATTCTGGATATCCGTTTTCCTCATAATTTAACGGCATTTTGTACTGAGGCCCTTACTTTGGCGCTTGTTCGGACAGAGACTACTCTGGTACTTGTCAGCATGGTCTCGGGCGCCAGATTGTTCATGAGGTGGTTTACTACACCTGCTTCTATGAATTCAGTTCATTAGGAAACCTGGGTAACAACAGTGGAGACAGGCACAGGAGGTGTACCTACCTTGGTACCTACAGTATGAATCAAGGGTGGATGTAATTGAATCGACCTTGAATCAAGAAGCCACGGTGATGTAGGCTTCAATTACAATCCCTGGGTCCAGCCAGGAATACTGATTGCTATCTTTATGCTGGATGATTACAGGAATCAAAGCAAATATCTGTCTGGTATTTTTAGGTCAGACCTGGAAAATTAATAATTCAGACTCATTGAGACAACCTGTAGAATCAGAAAAAAAGTTTCAAATGAATCGAACAGATTCAATTCGTATTTGTCTTTCCTTTTTCTTGAATTTTCTGACTGGAATGCTCAAGGGAAAGAAGTAGAATAATTGACAACTGGTTATGTCAGTGTCAGTCATTAGTCAATAATGATAATAAGCAATTCGACGAATGAACTTTCTGAAAATCATCAAATGAACTATTGAAACGATTCGGGGTAGAAAACAATGACAACAGAAAAATAAACATGAAATTTGCGATCACAAAGAACCGTTTATTCGCAAATACAAATTTCTGGATTCGGTATGAAAAACGACAGGATGAATAATAACAGTGGAAAATAATATACAAACTCACATGTGCAACACGGAATCACAATACATTGATACTTCACACTGGCTTTGAATGAAATATAAGAGCACTAGGAGATTAGCAAGAGAACCAGGTAAGAAACAAGTGAAAAGAGCCAAGAGCTCGAAGAGTAGAAAGTGTAGAGTATCGAGCGCGATCTGTTAGCTTTCTTCCGTATTCATACTTCTCATCAACCTCGGTACAACGCAAGCCCAATCCTAGATTCGTATTGGTTGGAATCCTCAACTATACTTGCAGGAACTAACATCCAGAAGCACATGTTCTTGAACCCACAAGAATGCGAAAAAATGATATTTAACACTAAATGAGCACAGGAACAGAATCTACTACCCTTGCTTATGCTACTGAATGAATTCGGCTGAAAAATATCCAATAACAAAAAATTTATGACTAGGTAAACATCCATCATTTCAACAGATAAATAATTCATTCAAATTCCATATCATAAGCGGAGGGTTGAAAAATATTGGATGTTTATCGGAGTTCACTATCAGGAAAAGCTTTGGGAGTCAAGAACCAATGAAATACCCAGCTCCCTCAGGTTTTCGGGTTTCGAGTGAAATTCAACTAGAATCAATATCAGGTTACTGAGGTATTAATCAAAACCAGTCTAGTAATGAATCTAGTTCGAAAAGACTATATATGGAACGTCGATATTTGATGATAATTATTCATTTCATGGACAGAAATATGCGATCTCCGTATGATTTATCATACTCTTATGACATTCAAAAACTTTGTTACGCAGGTTATCATCATCCACGAATTGTTTTGTTCTCTTATGAATTATGTTTCCTTCTCTATCAGAGAAATATTATCAAAATCATATTCACTTTGTAGGGGAATGACTGTCACGTCGGGGAGCATCACTATCAAGAAGGACGACAACAACCTCATTGGCATCAGTATTGGAGGTGGCGCCCCATTGTGCCCATGCCTTTATATTGTGCAGATTTTTGATAATACGGCTGCCTGTCGTGATGGTACCTTACAATCGGGGGACGAACTGGTATCTGTCAATGCACAGTCAGTTAAAGGAAAGACCAAAGTGGAGGTGGCCAAGATGATACAAGCAGCAAAAGTGAGTCTGATATCTTGAGGGTGAACAATTCCTCTCTTCCATATGATTCACATTGTGCTTTCTCATGGTGGATATGGAGAAGGGGTAGATTTTGCAATATTCTTCAAATTTTGAAGGATATCATATCTCGGAAATGAAAATCTTTGAACGAGTTTGTCAAATTTCAATGTCAACTTGAAAGATATCAGCTGAAAGCACTAATATATTTTATCGCAGAATTGAAAATGTACTACACTGGTCACCTACCTAAGAATATGCTCTAGCCAAAATTCTAGATTGATTTTGTATTCATTGAAAATATTAATTCCAATTTCTATTCAATTCTCAAGAAAATATACATATTTGGGAGATCCAAGAAATGTTGATAATTGCCAAGAAATATCATCATGTAGGTAGAATATGGTACAGGGTATCCCACAAAACACAAGCCACCCCTTTATTTAGTGAGATGAAATTAATACAATCCAAATTGGAAATCAGAGTTTTCCGCAGTTATATAAATATTGCTCAGATAATGTCAGCCATTCAAGATGATCCACATACCAAACATATGTTTCTGCTAATAGAATATCCTAAAACTCATTAGATTTTTGGATGAAACTGTGGAGAACGACTTCGATGATATATAAAATCATGAGCCTGGCTCAAATAGGATCTTTTTCGATGAATAGCCTTATTTCCAAGCTAATGAAAACGTTGAGAATCAAGTTTTTGATGGATTGACAAATTCTGTAGCTCATCTAGATGTTTGGTCAGATTTCAGATATTCTCAATTTTCCAAAATTGATGACGTATTTTGCAAACCGATAATTTTTCCAAAAGTTTCAAATGAAATATCCTGAATTTTGTTCCATCCTTGAATGAAACTCATAAAGACGAGTTCAAAAATATATGATATGGGTCTGAGATAACCCGTTTCGGACTTATCCATCATCTTTTACAATTAGTAATCGAATTTGAAAACCCTCAAAAAACGTTGTGGATTCAGATGTCCATGCGCAGTTTTTGTTGTGGATGAACAAATTGGTATGTTTTGTTTATCGTCGATCAGGATTCAGATATCATGAATTCGCCAAAAAAGGTGCTGTATTCGGAAAACTGATCATTTTCTAGAAATTTCGATTGGGAACACTACTTGATATTTCATGTTTGTCACAAATCACTCTGTGATTTCCTATTGATAGCGGAATCCATGCAAGCTAGGACGATGTCAGAGGAAAGATGGCATAGTTTTGTTAAATATTGTCAGGAATAAGAGTGATATTTCGGCTAGTGATTTCGTATAGTCCATACTTGATAGTTAGTCCTAGAGGAGGAACTGTGATTTATCAATAACTTTTTAACATTGTGGCGACCGTGACAGGACTTTCTATTAAGATTATGGACAAAACGAAGAGAGCCCTTCAGGGCTGGTACGAATTAATTCATATGAATTAAGTCAGTGATTTAATTCGTGAATTAATTCAAATGACTTTTTTCAAATAAATAAATAATTCAATATTCATCAAATGGGAACAAATCTCATTATTTTCAATTTGAACTAGTTTAAAATTGAATAACCGATGGCATCTGACAACTGACAGCCGGGAAGCACCCACACGCAGAAAACTAAATTTTCTAAGAACCGCTTTACAGTTTACAATATTTCGTTCTTGCAATGTCTTTTTGTCATAGATTCTGTGTATTACTTCTCACAGAGTTTTGAGTTGGGTCAAGAGTTGGGTAGAAGAAACCATGAGAAAGGCAAGAAAAGTAAAATCTGCATCTGATAATCCGAAAATCTAACATGTCACCACTAGAATTGCACCAGTAATACAAATTACCAGACTTATTTCTTGCAATGCAACGAAAAATTGCTTTACAAGGTGATACTAATCCGTAGGCGCGCCATGGAAATACCTGCATTTTTTTTAAATAACTGTAAAGCGCCTTTATAATGGAGTTTGCGAATGAGTAATATAAGTTGCATAAACATCATTTTTCATTCAATCAATAGTCTCAGTTTGTATTGCAAAAATTGCATTTTTTAAGTATTTTATTGTTATGCTTTGATATTGTTAACGGAAATAAAAACTTAGATTTTTTCGGTGTTCTTTTATTTTGTTCAAGTAAATAGAATTTGATTTGTTCTCAAATGAATTAATTCAAAAAAGTCCGAATTAATTCAAAAAGTCGTACTTTTTTGACTTTTTTATAAAAGTCATGACTTATTCCAACCCTGGAGCCCTTGATCTACAACGAACCGCATTCAAAAATATATGTAGCAAGATTGACGACGATTTATCTGCGAAGAAATATGATCTGATAGATATTCAGAGTGGGATGATAGTTCTGGAAGGAAAAATGTTCAAGATAACTGAATTGAATCAACTTATGTTCGATTTGATGTTGGATTCCGATGACCACCAAGACGATATAAATCTGGAAGTGAAATTGATGGATAGTTTGAGTTATCAGTACTATAATTCAAGATTTCGTTGTGAAAATTTGGTATATAAAGAGGAGAGCTCAAAGAAATCAGACTCAGAAGGTGAGTTGGAGATTCCTAAACTAGAATATCGCCAATATGGAGGTAATTTGAAGAGATGGCTCAGTAGTTTTTGGAATCAATTCAGAAGAATTGACGAAGATTCTGGTCTAGAGGAGGAGGACAAACTCCAGTTCTTCATTCGAGCCACTACACCGAATTCTAGAGCAAGACAAATTGTAGAAAGTTACGCTGCTACAAAAAAATTACTACGAGAAGGCCATTGATAGTTTAAAACAAAGATTTGGTAGCGAAGATTCATTTATAGAAGTGTATGTGAGAGAACTTCTTCATTTTGTTTTGACAAATCCTCATAGTAAGAATAAACTATCAACCTTTTTTCATACAATTGAGACACAATTGAGAGCCCTGGAGAGTTCAGGAGTAGAATCAAATACTTGTGCTGCAATATTGTATTCCTTGGTGGAGTCTTGCTAAGAAGAAGACTCAATCAGAGCTCGGCATAAAAGTCAACTTCATTCGAATGAATCAAGTCTCGACGCTCTGATGGATTTACTTAGACAAGAAGTGTTGAACGAAGTGTGAGAACGCAGTATTTTTTGTAGAAGATCGTATTTATCATATCAATGCAAAGATGCTATTGAATTGAGTTTCAAAGAAAAGGAACAGAAATTGTCAGAGTCTGCATGTTGCCATTTGTGCACTAGATTTGGCCATATAGCACGACGGTGTCGTTCAAGAAAAAAATGTGACGTATGTCAAGTAAAACACTGTACACTTACGTGTTCTGAACAAGATTCGGAGGCATTGAGTTCAATCGAAGCCAAGCAAGATGTTCAGAGCACAATAAAGAAACCTCAACAGAATCTGACTAATCATACGTACACTGATGTTATCTTACAAACCATGGTGGTTGAACTGAAAGGCGAAAGGAAATCGAAACGAATTCGTCTTCTGATTGACACTGGTAACCTCAAATCATATATCACGAATAGGGTTGTCAAAGAATAGTTATTTGTTTAACTAGGCAGCAAAGTGGTAGATTGACTGCCGAGGCTGAATTCATAGCCGAGCGTAACGAGGCTAGGAATCCAGCTGAGGCAGTCAATCTATTTTGCTGCCGACTTGAACATATCATTTTTTCTCAGATTGTTCATAATGATATATATCTCTTTATTTTTCCTGTAGTGTTCAATTGAAATAAAATTTGATCGAAATCCCAGTTATTGGTATGGTTGGATGCTATGGAAATGTCCATAATAATTATAGTTTGACAATTCATGAAATTTCTGACAGTTGTGCGAAAAGAAATCGGTATATTTAAATTATTATATAATGGACAGTGATAGCGACCTGGAAGTACTCAAACCTCCAGAAATAAGGGAGGTGGCAAAAAATATAGAGTTGAATTTGTTGTCGGAGAAGTCTCGGATGAAATATGAAGGAAATTATAAACGATTTATGGATTAATAATTTTGCTGATACATATCAATCAGCAAAGTAACCATTTTGCTGCCTAGGCAGCAAAGTAACCATTTTGCTGCCTAGAAAGGAGAAGTAATACTTCGCTGATTGATATGTGTCAGCAAAATTAATATTTGCTGCCAATCGGAGAAAAATAGATCTGATTCCGATACGGGAAAAAAAACTGGTACATTCTCTTTCCGGAGGCACACCAAACGAAACAGTGAAACATAGGTGTAACAAAATTTGTACGTACGGCCTCACGGAAGACTACAGCTGCAACTTCGAAGTTTTGGATCAGCCACTGATTTGTAGCCCAATTAGCTCTGTAAAAAAATAATCTTGGTTAGATGATGAATTGAAACGTTCGGACATTGAAATCACTGATAGAGCAGATGGACCTATTAGTATTAGTTGGAGCTGATGTAGCTGGTGAGCTACTATCTGGACGTAAACATGATCTAGAATGTGGGAGCATTTCATACGTTATTGGGTTGGACTGTCATGGGCAAAGTTATGAATGGTTAGCATCATACATCATCCATGCTTATAACCTAGATGTTTTCGAAAGAGATTGACATATCTAACCTATGGAGTTTGGACGTGCTTGGTATTGAAGATCCTAAAAGAATGGAGAATTCACAAGATCGAGAGCAAGTGGTCATGGAACATTTCCTAACTACTGTCAAACAGACAGCTAATAAGCGATATGAAGTATTTGATCTGTCATATAGAAGACTTTCAAATACTAGAACACGGTTGAGAAATGAAAATTTTCACGATGTCTATTATGAAGTATTTGATAATTGGTTAGCAGAAGGTGTCATAGAATGCTCACCTGATGACGGATCTATCGGAAAATCAAGTCAAAATGGCCATTTCTCACCTCATCATCCTGTTTACAAGCCCAATAGTAGTATTACACCTGTACGGCCTGGCCTGTATTTGATGCTTCATCAAAAGAAAAGAATCAGCCCTCACTGAATCAATGTTTGGAAAAGGCGGTGACTCTTATCGAACTAATTTCCTTCATGTTGATTCTATTCCG